TCAGAAAATTAAAACGCACATGGACACGGCCTTCCAGCTACTAATCTACACATTTAGAGACAGAGAATCCTTCCAGTAATGTTAATCTCATACAAATTATAAATGAAATTTATACAATGCCTTTATCAGCACTGTAACATTAATTATAGGGAAGCATAAGTAAGAAAAACAGATGATGTGCTTTTTAAACCTTCATACCAGATACAAAGACTGAGAATAGAAGTGAAGAAACAAAGCTGCAACGCTGCACCCCTCTTTTCCTCCCAAGCTTACAGGAGAGAAGAGAGTGTGGTAGGGTTCCTGCTCCAAATCTGGTTACCAGATATAATCTTGTTCTAAAAAGCTGATTGTTGGTATAGCCCAGTTCACAGCACAACGTCTGCTGTTTTTCAGGACAATACTACAGAGTTCTTTATTCTCTGGGAGAGCTTTCCATGACTGTTCCAATACCAGAGGGCCAAAAGCAGCTAGAAGAATCCATAATAATTTTTAGCTCGCTTCAATTACACCGGAGCCCATTGGATAGCAGATTCAAGTACGCTATTTTTGCCCAAATTCATATAAATGTATGTACAAAGCACATCCTTTGTTATGTGCTTTATACATAAAATATCCTTAGTTATGGCCAAAGAATGAGATGTCTTCATGAAGTGGTTTCATTTTGTTTATAAATGTTTAAAAAAAGTTAAGAACCGCATTGCATGGAATGTTATTTATTTCACTGCTCTCATCCTTTCACAGAATTCAGCCCAGTTATTGAGCTGCCTACTCATTAGACTAACTTCTGCAAAACAATAATACTTCACTTGGAGCAGGAGTTGGAATAGAACTTTGTATAGCAGACAGATCACTATGGTTTCCCTCTGAAGTATATTGTATTCTTTATGCAATGTATATAATTAAATTAATCAAGTATTCAGAAAGAAACCTGCCCAGCACACTAGCCTGGTTGAACCACTCTACCACTACGTAGCCAGAAAACACAGTGGTGAACACAGTCCAGTAACAACTGATGCAAGTGATTTTGTTCCTGAAGAGAAAAAAAAAAAAAAAAAGCAGACTGAACTAATGTCAAACTTAGTACCAAAAAGAAAACATAAGCAAAACATCAATACTGACACATGTCACACTTCCTTTCTAGTTCTATTACACATTTATTTAAACTAATCTCAGCGGGATCTAAGCACTTCATAGAATTGAAAGTGATTATCTACTTTCTTTCTACCATGTCTCAGTCTCCCAAAGGTATGTGATTTTTATTATTACAAATTAGTGCTAAGGAATTGGGAGAACTCAGGGTACAGGTCCTAATATATAGTTTCTCAATTACACAGCAAAGACTTAAGAACAAGATAATATCTCATTTTGAAAGATAAATTCCTATTAATTACAAGTATGCAGCCAGATTTTCAGACAGACACAACCCAGTTTGCATTAACTGTCATTATTACGTACGATGACTATATAATATACAAACTGTCCTTTCCACATGTAACTCCCTGATTTCCAAAGAGCTGTCAGGGAGCACAGATTTTCAAAAGGAGAGCATATATATTTTTGCTATATACACCCACACAAATTCTTTTAGTAAATGAGAAAACTGCTACAAGTATCTTTCAAAACACTATAATGGAAGAATTGAATAAATATCCTACACTGAACATTGCCATTACATCCATAATAGGCAGGATCTCACCAGTTGAGACCCTTCAGCTTCTTTGTATGTACTGAACAGTAACTATGGAACGCCAGTGAACAGTAGATAAAGAGAAGCCATAACCACCATCGGTTAGAAAACTGCAGGTCAACCACAGCATTCAAGACTGAGCCCAGTGGCAGCCCTGTCGCCATTGCCAAGGTTCCTCTTTTAGCATAATTTCAGCAATGACAGCACGGTCAGAAAACACCTCACCTCTATGAGGATAACCATTTGTGGATCTTTAAGGAGCTGCCAGAGCAACTTGGCGGCAAGTCTGGTGGCAAAATATCAGAGGAGGACAAAAGCATACCAAAGGCCAGGTTTCTAAAGCTCATTTTATGCACCAGACTTCTCATCATATGTTTACTACCATTTAAGTAAATACACCAAACAATATTAAATTATGAAAATCAGGGCATCATAATTGTTTTTATAACGTCTCCAGATTTCTGAGTCTTCAGCTTTAACAAATATATTCAGATGCAGCAAGCATTTTAAATGACTGAATTGAGCTCTTGGCTCATGACACTTATATTTGACTGTCCAAAACTCATGCATGTAGACTAAGTTCAGTACCTACAGAGCAATGACTGATTCCCAAAACGAAGGGAAAAAAAAAAAAAAAGAAAAAAAAGTAATGCTATCCTAAGCTTGGTAAAATTAATGGCTCTCTGGAGACACTTATCTCCCTCCATTGACTAGAGGAAGAGTCTGGATTACCAGATTGTATTAAAAACCAGCCTTTTAGACAGCTAAACTTAACTGAGATGAATCCTCCCAAATAGTTATTTCACATTAATATGAAAAACAGTAAGCGTTTTCATGGATAATAAAAAGCTGAAGTAATCTATCCATAAGACTATGTCACATATAATAAGAGATATAATCAAAACTACTCTATAGCCCAACTGGAACGTAAATAAAATAGGCTCTATCTCCAGGATTCAGCTGGTTTCCAGACAGCACCCATTTTTTACAAGGCAGAGCGTAACACTCCATCACTTGCAAGGTATCTAGGAAACGTGATTCTGATAGCATCACATATTTTTTTCTTCCAAGCACAGTTCAAAAACTCATGATACAGAGTAAATAAAACTCTGAAATATACCCATTCCATAATTATTTCTTAGTAAAATAAGTATTTAACGTTTCCTGGAAAAGTATGTCTTTATCTAATGTGTGCTGCAAGACTGTGTTTTTAATTTGGTGAAATGAATAATACAGAAGATTAAGTCTGAATCAAATCAATCTTCATAGATTAAAACTTCTTTAAAAGAGTAATTACTACATCAATTTCTTCTGTCCTTCATCAGTTTGATAACACATGAAGAACATGAATTGCAAGAAAATACGAATACCATAACAAATATTGTCATGAACTAGAAAAAAGCAAAATATTGTCCCACCTTAAAAAAAAAAAACAACACACACAAAAAACAAACCAGTATACAACATTTTCATGAAGTGGGATAAAATACTCCTGGTGTAAGTCAGAAAGTTACACTTACTCAGATCCTGGGACTCATACTATTATTTCTCAAGTGCACATTCTACAAATAATTGTAGACCAATAAGTAATATTATCCCGTAAAATGAGGGAGGAGCTCTATTTCATTAAAAATTAAAACCAGATGTAAACTGAAGTGAGAAGAAAATCAATAGCTCACAGCATCAGATGCCTACAAGAACCTACAGAATACGTAATACAGGGATACGGGGCGGCGGGGGGGGTAAATCAACTGTTCTGAAAAGGCGTTATTCACACGCTCAGTGAAACTGGCAGGAAATAGCACATATATGTTCCCAGTACTTAATTAACTGATTGTATTCTTATGACAGCAAATGCAGAACGGTTGATATCAATACACAAAGCCGTAAAGAGCCATCAGTAAGTCCTATAAAAAGGATCATGTCTCTCACCCTCTTCTACCACTGTATTCAGATGATAAATGCTTGCCAAAAATAAATCCAGGCACTATCCACAAGCTATTCTCAACAGGATCATCCACAAGTCCGTTTCCCGGAGTGCTCTGACACATTTCCCAATTTTTAGTTCCCAGGACAAGTGGCTGTGCTTTTTGGCCCACATGTGACCTGTGTGTTTATATTTGCAGCCTATGCATAAAATATGGACATGAACATTAGGGAAGGGAAAAACTATTTATGGTAAGAACAATAGTGGCAGTAAACAAGACAGGAAACACATTACGGGCTCATTAAATTCCCTCAGATTTACAGCCTCCAGAATCCTATAGGGAGGCTTTTCCATAACTGCACAGCTCTAACGTTTAGAATCATTCTACAGACTGAAAGCTTACAGCCATCTAGTCTTGTCTTGAGACTGTCCTTTACCTTAAACACTTTTTCTCCAAAGTCTATTCTTATCATATATTTATAAACAACAATCTTTTCAGCTCTCAGCCTCTCTCGTGAAATTAAATACACCACACCCTTTTATTATCTTCTAAAGGCTCTTCATGCTTCAGTCAGCATTAATACCACTCACCACGCGGAGGCCTGTTTGGTTTTTTAAATGTGTGTTGCCAAAATTCTACAAAAATATCCAGGGTCTTGAGAACTGCATTGATGTTTCTCTCCTTTTTTCATTAGGACAACATAGCCCACTTCCACAGCCACATACCGCTCCTCACTCAGACACACAAGCCACTGTCATTTCCAGCAATGTGCCTTCAGTTTGTAGGGGAAAATTCTTATCATTTCCTAAGTGTATGACTCGCACTCTGTTCCATTATCTCATGTTAACTGTCATTTCCAGACATCTCGTTCTTCCTGAATGACAGTCCAGCCTCCTCCCAACTGGTTGTCAGCAAAGTTTTGCAGGGTGCTTTTGTTACTATTCACTTCTACTGTTAAACTCGGGTAACTGGGAATGCATTCTGTATTTTGACATTTGTATTGCATACTAGCAGGCTCTGGTGCTTCACAAGTAAACATTTTTTTAGCACCATCCTTCTAAGACTGTCTTCTGTCCCATGAAACTAAGCACAAATAGCCGAGCCCTTTTCATTGCAATTTTTTAAGCAACATAGCTGCTATTCATATTATAAGACAGTATTAAGCACATTTTTTTTTAAATTGATCATTTTAGTTACTATGTTTTGTCCCACAAACAAAAAAATTAATACTATTACGGAACAAAAGCCTAGTTTTAATTTTACAATATAATTTATAAATATCTTGAAGGTGTTTGGGATCAAGACTTTAAAGGATCACATTAGCTGGACTTGAGAAAGTAACACAGTGATATCTAAAACTCAAATGAGAAAGATACAATACATACCTATATCATATGCAAGAAAGTCAGCAGAAAAGCACTTTGCACCATTACTCAGGGAAGTATCATTGTGAGTGTTGCCACCAAAAATGAGCATAGCTCCATTGATTAAGACAGCTGAATGAAGATACCTTGCAAAACCACTTTCTTTCAAAATAGTCCTAAAAAACATGAGAATAAATTAATACATACTAGCACATGAGAAACTATATATACACATCAAGAATATTTAGTTGAAAAAAAATTCAAAGTACAAGGAATACACTAACGCTATTAGTAAATATGATGAAATGTATTCTGATGGTTAAGGTTATGAATTCTCTCATGTTACAACAAATATACTTAGCATTCATTTAAAACATCATGCTTTTTTTTAATTAAAAATCCAGTTTGTTAAATAACAATCAGAAGTAAATTACATCATGTTTACATTCTTCAGAAGTGAATAATGATACAGTTCATTTTACTCAAAACTGAAAACTCATTCATATTACTAATTCCTATTGTTATATATTCTTAGCCACGTTGGGGTTTTTGCTGAAGAAATGCACTAAAGAAGTCTTTACAAGGTTAAAAGAATCTTTACACCATGCTAAGTGTTGGGTATTTTTTTATTAATGGAACACTCAGACCTGGAAAAGAAATGGTAGAAGCCACTCTAGTAATGATCAAAACCACTTGCACTGCTTCATTCATATTCAGGCTGGCAGACTCAAACATACAGAATATCAGTACCAAAAAAAAGTCCATGCACATTGAGTCTCACTGAGTCTCTGATCTCTCTTCATTCATTTTAGCCTCTGTCTGTGCAGTCTGCTTTGTGCCAGAGCAATAACGTGGGCCCAACAATAGCCAAGAGCTATCAATACTACCGTTTCAAAGTGGCAGGTGTGGGGATAGTAGAGAGAACAGAATACAAACTTGATTCAATCACAGCAAATAAATCTTACCATTTGTGGGTTTTGCCAGCTTGAACTAGTTAAGCAGACCAGCTATAGACATGTTTGTGAAGAGCTGATTAGATCACCAGTACAGAATATTATTTGCATTCCCCTAATAACCTTTTACTTCTCTCAGTAATCGAACAGTTTTCAAGTTTAGACTCTTTCACTCGTGTTACTGCAAGCTGCCCACACCTAGAATGAAACTGGTTTGTTTCCTGTATCGCGCATACTGATGACAATCTTTCTTCTGACTGACTAATACTCTCTCTCTTGAATAATACTGATAACGTTTGTTCACTATTTTTACATCAACATAGGTTTTATGGAAGAGGGTTTAAAGTAGGTCTCATTGTTTTGACATAATGATGTAAATTAATCAATAAACTCAAGATATTCTTTAATTGATAAGAGATCAATCACAGAATCATAGGCCACCAGGTCAGAAGGGACCTCAAGGATCATCTGGTCCAACCTTTCTTGGCAAAAGCACAGTCTATACAAGTTGGCCCAGCACCCCATCCCACTGAATCTCAAGAGTGTCCAATGATGGGGAATCCACCACTTCCCTGGGGAGATTATTCCAATGGCTGATTGTTCTCATTGTCAAAAGCTTTCCTCTTCTGTCCAACAGGAACCTCCCCAGGAGTAATTTGTACACATTACCCCTTGTATTTTCCATGTGATTCCTTGTAAAAACAGAGTCTTTATCTTCTTTGTAGCCACCCTTTAAATACTGGAACATAGTAATAAGGGCTCCCCTAAGCCTTCTTCTCTCAAGGCTTCTCTCAGCCTTTCCTCATGTTGCAGGCTTCCCAGTCCTTTGATCATCTTTGTGGCCCTTCTCTGGACCCTCTCCAGCCTGTCCACATCTTCTTTGTGTAGCAGGGACCAAAACTGAACACAGTATTCCAGGCATGGCCTGACAAGTGCTAAGTAGAGTGGGATAATGACTTCTTTATCTCTGCTGGTGATGTCCTTGTTGATGCAACCCAGCATCCTGTTGGCTTTCTTTGCTGCAGCAGCACAGTGTTAGCTCTTATTGAGCTTGCTGTCCACCAGGCCCCCCAGGTCCCTTTCCACAGAGCTGTTCCCCAGGCGGGTAGATTCCAGCCTGTGCAGCACTCCTGGATTATGTTGTCCCAGCTGCAAGACCTTACACTTATCCTGGAACTTGGTAAGGTTCTTGTTAGTCCACTCTTCCAGCCTATCCAGGTCTTCCTGCAGGGTGGCTCTCCCTTCCAAAGTGTCCACTTCCCCGCTCGTTTGGTATCATCAGACTTCAAAGTACACTTGAACCCATCATCCAGATCACTTACGAAGATATTAACCAGCACTGTGGCCAATATCGATCCCTGAGGGACCCCACCTGTCACAGGTTGCCAGTTTGAAAAGGAGCTATTTACCACCACCCTTTGGGTGCAGCCTGTCAGCCAGTTCCCCACACACTGCACAGACCACTTGTCTAAACTGTTTGTTTAAACAAGCTGAGAGGAAGGTGTTAAACCTAAGTTCCCATATCGTCATTTAAATAGATTCCGCCCTATCCCTAGAAAGTAACAAACAAGGGAAATACCAAAGGCTAGATGAAAGTAAATGATTTTTATTGCTTCAAAATGCAATAAAATAATTTCTTCACGTCACCACCAATGTGGTTCTACTTGTAATCCTTTTTTTTGTTCTGTTAAGTGACTTGCATTTTTGATTGTGTATTTCTGCTTAATATGCTTAGAAAATAGAGCACCATAGAAAACAGCACACAAATAGAATGTGTGTGTTTTTCCAACAAGGAATTAGCTTGATACAGAATATTTATGGTATCTACCCAGAAAAACATGATATCTGGTTTCAACTCATCAGTTAACAACATATAGAATTAGGAATGACAAGGAAATAGAACACAACATTATTTTTAACAGTTATTTTTAACTAGTAATGGAAAAAATACTGCTGCTATGAGTTGAAGGAACAATAATATACTAAGAACTTGTTGTCCTTATCCATTCAGATGATAGATTTCTTTCTGTCTTTGGCTTTACCAGTTTTCTACAGCTCCCACCTCCTAACTTACATTAATTGCTATACACTAGGCTCTGTCTTGATTATCCTGCCTTGCAGTGGTCTACAAATAGTTGTCTCGATCACTAAAGGCCTAAGGAGCCATACGCTGTTCTGAAGAACACTAAGGACTCTCTCCTTCCCATGGTGGATATAACAGCAATCTCTGCAGTTTTTCTGTGGGATAGTCACTTTTCCACTTCTCACCCTACTGCGTTGCCCCAGCCCATTGCACAGGGTTGGGGGGTTTTGTCTAATTTTTGCATATTGTGTGCTGAGTTTCATCCCTCCTGATGACAGAGCTTTTCCCCAAGATTCAACAGAAGTGGAAGTGCAATACAGACCAAGTTTGTTAATTTGGCCACGATTTTCACTTTTCATTAGCATCACTGATGAGAGCAATCTTCAGAACTCTCCAACACATATCAACCTCATGCAAATTATGTGAGAGTCTCAGCACACTTTACACTGAATTCATTATTTATGCACATATACGTGTATCCGCAAACATTAGTCCATGTTAACTATACCAATGCCAAGTGACGCAGCAGGATGATATTGTAATGGTAACAGAAATACGCAGGAGCCAGCAGGTGCTTCCACTGTTTGAGACTATTATCTAAGCCCGGCACCACATTGCCCCCCAGTTGCCAACCACAGCAGCATGCAAGTAATGCAAAGCAATGCAGGTATTACACACACTGTAATTCTCCATAATATATTAGAAATAATGTCCACATTAGAAATTAAGATATCGCCCCCTCACATACCAAGAAACATAAAGCTTATGCCTAAGTGATACGAAGAAATGAAACCCCACATGCCACTGAATACAACAAGCCACCAGCTTTGTATGCCAAGCCTTAGTGAAGTATATGAACCTCAGTGAGAACAGACAGAGAAATAGAGAGAGTGAGCGAGTGCAAGAGAAACACAGAGACAGCGAGGACAAGCAAATGGTGAGTGTGAAAAAAGCCATGGCATGAGAAAGCCATCATGGTTCCACCTCTTCCTCATACCCCACCTAGCCTGTGGTACGTTCAGGCTCAGCTGCCTCACCGAGTGCTTTGAAAACTGATTATAAGATGTCACAGATACGGTCAACAAACATTTTATTACCATGTAAGTGTCATTACCCCATTCTGTCAGCCAGTTTTCAGTCCCACAGTACAGCTGACTTCTAGTGTAATACTCATGAAAGAAATAAGAGCTAAGTTCTCTAGAAGCTGCAGAGAATACCACGTTAGTATAGAGTAGATAAAAGCTAATAATGAATGCTTCTATATGAAGAATGAACAAAAATATTCCAATAATTATTATATTGTTGAACAGACCCTCAAAGGATACAATATCACTTTTGTTCCAAGAATAGAGTATAATAAGAGAGCATTAAAATTCCAGCAATTTAAAAATACATTAAAGGGGACAGAAAACCCTTGTAATAATATTTCCAAGTGCCATGAGTTAGTGGCATTCAAAAAACAAGATCCTCAGTGAAATCAAACCCACGTTTCCAACATCTGAGAACAAGTCTTGTGTGCTTAAAGTTAAGTCATTAGTGCTCAACAAAAATACTAAATTGCAAGAATAAAATGTTCCGAGAAATAGTTCTTGATCTCGAATCATCTCTAAGGTAAGAAAAAACATTTCAGGTCACTTTCTATACATAACATATAAGTAGCGTTCATAAGTTACAAACAACTTGAGGAACAAGGAACTGAAAAACAGAAACACCAAGAACTTTAATAACTAAGAATCCCTATACAATACCAGGAATTTTCTCACTTATTTCTGACAGTTTTGTGAAAAATATCCTTCCACAGCTCTTAGATTTCTCATCTTATTTATCTAACAGGTACTTGAATGTGCATCGGCAGTATATTCATACCATGTGGGAACAGTACACGTGTATTATTTCTGCATAGTGGTTGTGTCTGGATAGGAGAACCTTCTCTTAATGTGTACAACATGCACAAAGCTTCCTCTCTACCATTCCTTCGATGTGTAGCTCCATTAATCTGGTGGCTAAAGTCTAATCCCTCACCACAATTCTTCCATTTTGTTGCAGATAGTGTACCGTTCTGCAACATGCAAAGGATACAGCAGTGCCTACACAACTTTACTAGAACCTTACTCTATGTTTATGTTTTCTTTTTCAGTAATAAATAACTTAGTTTCCTACGTTATAAATACCACTTACCATGTTCGAGTATTAACTTCATATCTGTAAAGGTCATCCACCAATCCATATTTATTGCCAGGTAACGCTTTGTATCCACCATGGACATAAACAGATTTTGTCAGTTCATCATAGACACTAGTATGGCCATATCCACCTTGCACAATTGCTCCTTTTGTTTCTGGTACAAGCCAAGAATTAGATCCTAGAACAGATGCACAAAAGACAGATTTAAGGGTTACTGTTGCTAAAACACAATACTAAGAGTTTTAAGTATACAAAATCATTTTTCGGTATACTTCTTAATACAGCAATAACTAGGGACTTGTTTTAAGTCATTTTATACCAATGTATCAGAATACCTGCAATTAGATAATGTTATTAGACTTATCTGCTATTCTTGATTAAATGAAAAATACGTCGTTGTTACAGGTGCTGGGCAGTATCTCATACACTCCCATGTGTGAGTTCAGCACACACCCAAAACAGAGAAAAAAGCCCAAACCTTTTGAAAAATATGGAATATGGAGTTACAATTCATTCTCACTCAACCTTAACTTTGTCCCACCAGAGATGGCTGATGAGAATTCAGTGCTCCAGCTACTGCAGCTGCATTAGGAACACCTGTACTTAATCAGGGGGAAACTGGAGAAGCCTGGCAGAAACTGAGCTGCTGTGAGTTGTGAGAAGCATGTAACATAAGGTAGCTCAAAGTACACATGGATACAGATAGACACTCTGCTAGTAAATTGTAAAAGTATTGAGCTAAAATCAGTTTCCAACTACTTTTTCTTAGTTATTTAACTGCAAATATACCTATTCGGTTGCTGAAAACTCACAAAAGGATAATTTGGTAGCAGCTCGTTAAGCTGGCACTTAAATCCATATTTTATAACACATCATTAATAACTGCAAAAAGAGACCCCAAATAAAACCATTCACAATAGCTGTTATGACTGAATAATAAAACACAACTGGAAACTGTTTTACCACAGCAATGAAAAAGGTAGAGAGGTTAAGTGACTTCTTGTTGCCTGTGGCCCCGAAATTTCCATTTTATCCCCTCCATCTTCCCAGCTGATGACATAAGCCACAAAAAGAGCAAGCCAGGAGGTATTTCCTGTAGAAGCCAGACTATTCAAAAGAGCCTACACAGCCAGTTCTACGGATGTGAAATGGAATAAATAATTCACTTATAGCCTCTTGAAGATTATGTCAGAAGAATAGAAAGCATGCACAAGGACTACCAAAAATCAAGCAGTCTCCTAATTCTTAACCTAAATTGGCTGCCATCATAAAGTTATTTATCCAAGGACAGCATACAACACCATACACCTTGCTTTATCTGAAAGTTCTTTTAAGTTCCATTTCAATTTTTATCTGATATTATGTAGGTAGTTTAAGATTACCTCTTTTTCCTTCAGATTCTTCTCTTCAGTGAAAAGACTCATGACTTTCAGTTATTACTGTTGCTATTCTACTTTCATTATATGGTTTTCAGGCACTGCCTCTATAAGCAAGTTACATTTTTTCCCGGTAACGAGTGCTTACAGAAGCTATAGATTAAACTGGAAGACTTGTGCTGATTTTTTTTGTGTATGAATGCTGATATTTATGTAATATACTATTTCTATCTGACACAGTGTATTTACATTATTTATACGCAGTATAACGTAATTAGTATTTTATTCCAATCTCCATGCTGGATTTTATCAAGCTTTTAAGAACTGCAACTCTTAACACAAACATCAAATTTGTACAAATACTGTATTTTGCGTACACATTACCTTGTTAACAAATAGATTTACATGATACAATTTATGTAAGAGGGTTGGTGAGGAGTCAACCTGCAGATACACCCCTCTATCACTAACACCATCCTCATTTTTTCCTGTAAATAGTGATTAGTCCTAAAGATGTGCACATATACTTTTCAGGGAAAAATCACTGTTCCTCCACATAAATTTACACAATGGTGTTGATCATATGCAGATTTTGCATTTATATCTGACTGCTTTATGTAGTATTTAGAACACTGTCATGGTAAAATTGAATATTGCATGGCTTTACATGACTTGCGCACAGATATGAATAGCTGTTCCTTCTTGTGTAATAGAAATCATGTGCTATGGATAAGTACCTAAATTTGAGAAGAGGTCCAGCAACATCTTTCTGAAACAAAAGTCTGCCTGATTATTGAATACCGAGATGTACATATTCAGTTTTGATCTTTTTCATGCTTCTTCAGCATCTTGAATATTGCATCATTCAGACAGAAATATACTTCTGTCTGAATTTAAAGACATTACTATGCATATGATCTGGGTTTTTTGTTTTAAAAACAATTCAGTGATATGGATCTTCACCTATCTTTTTTAGACAGAAATCCAATTTTTATTGAAGATATTTACATAACTCTTCTCATACTCAATGAGATCCCACTCTTCCTGTCATTAGATCAAATTAAGTACTTGATTGACCAAATCAGTCACGCGAAACTCTGCGCCCTCAACAGCTTAAAAATCCAAATGTACAAAGAGCTCTATGGATAAACAAACCAGAAATAAGGAAATAGGATTTTTTATTATTATTATTTCCAGATTTCAATTTGTAAGTCTAACAAACAGTGTAAAAATAAGATCAAATGAATTTTGATAAAATGACAAAAAAGAATATCATTCCAATCAGTCCAGGGGCTTCTTTTCATTTGTAATTTGACATTTTTCATCAATATCTAGGGAATGTTCCAGAGAATTCTACCACATAAAGTTTCTCTTGAAATGCTTAGGCAAGTCACTATGACAACTTCAAGTAATTAAATTTGTCAGATACTAAACAACTGGACACAGTTACAGGCTGCAATATTCTGGTCACCTTTGTCAAACAGAATTACACACTTCATGTCCAGCTTTACCATGACCATTCCCAGAAGACTGATCAAGTGAAAGAAAAGAAAAAAAAAAAAAAGAAAAAGGGCATCTACAAAAATATGGAAACAGAAGAAGTAATTACAGGTGAGAGAGAAGCTGAACTCATTAATTTAATGCACAGATGCTAGGAGTACAATGCCATTCCAAAGTTCTGACAGAAGCAGCAAGTGAAATTGCAGACCCAGTAGCAAGCATTTTAAACAAAGCTGGTTAGATATTTCAAAGAACAGCAACCATAGTGCTGACATTAAAGACTAGAGGGAGGAGACACAAGATCCAGATAATTACAGACCTTAATCTCACCTCAGTAACATGCAAAGGTTTAGAACAAGGGATTAAGGTTAGGTAGCCAGGCACTGGTGAAATCTCACCTAGAATATCCCAAAGGCATTTTGAGATAAAGTTGTTTCTGAAACAATGTTTGAAAAGAACTTTTGTTTTAATACGCAGTAATAAATCCACTAAAGAATATCCAAGGAAAGGTAGATCCATTGGCCTGATCCATCCTTACCACAATACCACCTTTAAACAAATTAGGTAAAAAGAACAGGTCCAAGAAGCACCTCAGTGTGCCATCTTCATTTCATTGCAGTGACAAACTTTAAAATTTTTCGAGCAACCATGAAGTTCATGCTAACTTACAAAAAAGAGGAAAGACATGCTACACCGTAGGGCCATTTCTTTTAATGCTATTTCAAAGAAAAATATTTAAACAAAAGCAACCTATAACCTACTTCTAAAGTCATGAAAAAAATTCAGCCTAAAAATAGTGATATTCTGCTAACCCAAACAGTTCTCTGTCTTCTAAAAAAATAAAATAAAGTCACAGAAGACTTATTCAGAAGTTTCCTAATACATAAGGAGCTTTTATAAAACTCAGCTAAAACAAAACACTATTATTATTTTCACCTTGAGACTCACATTGACATTCTTAGAAGGTTTATGAGGTACTGCTAACCTAAAGGGAAATAAATTTTCCTGGGGAGTAACCCAGAAAAGCTTTATGGTTCAAGTTAGTAAAATCATTCACATAATTCCCATACCAGGATTTATCGGTTCCTCAAAAGTCATAAGTCTAGGTACAGCAAGAAAGGACAACAGGAAGCTCTTTTGTTCCTGCAACAACCACCATACCTCTGGAGTAGAAATGAATTCCCGATGCTTTTGCATAGTGAAAGTCTGCCTGCAAACCATATCTGGTTTTTCCAGAATTCGACTTTAAACAGAAATTACTTTCTTGACTAATCAGACAGTGTCAGAGAAATTGCATTTGATGCAATTTGATTGCACGCATTTGATTCCCATTTTGTTAAGAAGAACTACGTAACTATGTGAAAAGCTAGGGAATCCACAAATAATTAAAACTTCTTTAGATGTTCCTTGACCCAGGCCCCACAGAAATCAGGGTCACAGTAAGTAAAGAAGGCTTTAGCACCAGAATTCCACGTATCAAATTCAAAGTTCATTAATACGACCGGATCACTAGAAGTTTCAATTCATACGAAACAAAGGCTAGTTGCCTCTTCTATGTCTCTTTCTTTCAGTAAGCATATGGTAAACGCTCGAAAAAATAGCCTTCATTAGGACTAAAAGCCACGGCTCATAACATTTAAAAAGAATAAAGCAGTACAATTGGAAATGTTAAGGCAGTACAATTGGAAATGTTAAGGCAATGTATGTTTTAAAAGCAAGTAGAGAGAGAAAATTGGACTCTAATTTTTCTTTCCATAATGTCAAAAGCCCTTTCTTATTACAAATTGTCTTTCCTATTCAGGTGGGTTCACAGCAATACTGCTATCACTTCCCATGTCTTTTGAGTTTGGATTCTGAGCTGCTAAAGTCCCACAAAACCTAGTCATTCTTAGTTCAAACCACCATCTGGAATTTTATGGTTAAAAATGATCCTACAGCTGCAAAACTGTAGATAAATGCTACAGCTGACACAGAACTCAGGAAAATTTACCACGAAATTCATCTAACTTAGAGAGGAGGGGAAAGAGGGAAACGCAATGAGGTAAAATGAAACATGAGAATTATCCACGGCGGAAATGGTTCCGTTACAGCATATAGACCACGTTCTGCAAAGCACTGCATGCGCCAATAATCCTTCATCACATAAGTAAACTCACCGAAATCAATGGGTTTCCACAGTAATACCCTATATCGTTACAAGTTTCCTTTATATTTGATGCATGTGAAGCATGTTTTCTCTAACAAACTAAGTTTCTCACTGGTATGTGATGAAATTATCATCTCAGAAAGGAGACATAAAAGCTTGAGAATAATTCAGACCCATAATAACTGCCAGAGAAGTAAGTGCTTTCTCCTAGTCAAAGCTTATTGCCACGGTATGAAAGGTTTGGAGGTTTTTTTCTTTGTTTGCTTGTTTTATACATGCTTAGTTATAGCCTGTTTTATTAATCCACCACAAACATAGCTTCAACATTAAAAAAAAAAAATCAAATAAGAACAAGTTGTACATTTCAACCATAAGACCAGCAATAAAACCCAACAGACACAACACTACAAAGTGAATCATGTACCCCACTTCATAATTAAACTAACCATAATAATAGGCAAGAATAATATTGGTACTTCTACTCCAGACTAAATAAACAGTGTGTGAAGAAGCAAATAAAATATAGCATTAAAATATAAATATTACTTTGAAATTTTGTATTATGCATTCTGTGATTGCTTAAATAACTGAGGGATTCAGATCAATTCTATAGAAAACAAGGAATCAAAAAAGTAACAGAAGATTATAATTTTAATTAGTGGGTATATAAATATTCCTTCAAAAAAAAGTATCAGAAGGTGTAGATTTTCATGTTTATTCTATTGAAATAATATCTGAAATGTACCGTGTATACGATTAAAAAAAAATAATCTTGGTTTATTTCATTCTAGTATTTAAAATCCCCCCTAGCAAAAGCTTGCAGTTCTCAAGGGGAATCCCTGACAGACATGGCAGGTTATTTACAAAAATTAGTGTTTGTTTTCTCTTATTTCCTCTAGTAGCAACATGTATACACTTTATAATGATGAACTAAGTTACTACAGTTCAAAAATCAGACTGGAAGTATCACAGCAACAAAGAACCTTCAAAATAACCAAATTATTTTAGTAAGCACTGTTCATTGCATTCTGTTTTGCCCTTCCTTTTTTTGCTCTACTTAATCTTTTTTACTCTATCTACTCAGTGTTAAAACCAGTAAGCTTGTGGAAAAAAGTAAGTTTCATCACAACAATAACCACTGCATGGAATTTCTGTTTCAATCTTTACCCCCGTTAGAGCGCCACAGCTATATATGCAGTAACACATAGCCAAAGTCATTATACTCCAAACATATATGAAATGCTATTGCTTAACAAGAAACCCAATCTACCTAATTTGAAGGAAAAGATACGAGGTTTTCTTTATTTTGCAAAGTAGATATTTTTTTCTTTCTGAAAACAGGAATGTTCTTCACTTAAAAAAAAAAAAATCAGGATTTTTTTTTAATCAGTACATGATAAAAATTATTTGACAGTGACTTACTGACGTAGTATTCTTGTACAATGCTTGTGTATCCATATACGGCAGAATATCCAAAAATTATAATCATAACCACATCTCTGCTGTCCAGCTCCACTATGTGTGCTGAATGACCTTCCACAGCATATTGTTGGCCATGGACAAGTACCGCAGGAGTCCTGGTACTCCATGTTTGACTGCGTATGTTGAAAATCCACAGCTCATCAGTAACATTGCCATTATTTGTTTCGATTTTGCCTCCATACATATAGATGTCTTCCTGTAAAAATTGGAAAGGAGAAGAGAAAACAAATAATGGATTACAAAAAGATAACATCTGAACTGCATACTTCTGTGCTGCGTAATATTTCATAACTGAACAATCTGATTTAAATCTTCACATTTAATCTTACATTAACCAGCTCAACATCAGACACTAATCCCAGACAATGACATTTAAACTAAACCAACAATGATGGTAAGGAGACTATTTCTCTGAAAAATAAACCCAGCCATGAAAATTACACCAAAATGAATCTCAACCGGATTACTTCAAGCAGAAAAACTTTAATTACATGGCTCTTCTAATTCATACTGCAGCATTCTATTAAAAAAAGAACCTAAACAGAAAGGATATTATATTGTTTTCTTAAGGAACACTTCACAGAATTAAAATGTGATTTTCCACACACTCAGTCTACAGCGATTTAATTCAGCACGTGCACAAGACAGCACATTCTCTCTTAATAGCAAAGTAACTTAAGTCCTGAGAAAATTCACAGTCATCAGAGCCCAAAGAAAAGGGAGAATGTGTGTACAGCATCCTCTTGGACACATTTGCTAAAATCAAATCCCATAGGGGAGTACTTTGAGTTCCTTTAAAGGGAAGCAAAACAGATTTTCCAGACTTCACGAACCACATACCTTAAACAGCAATGCCATCTGTTTTGGTAAGTAATGAATGATTTGCTTAAATATTGACTGAAAACAAATCCTACTAAATCTCAGACTTCGCTTAGAGTTGCAAACCAAGGCATACAAAGTCACAGGACAAATTCCAGCTTGTTGGCTTCACAGACTGACTCAAGGACAGTTTATCCTGGGTAGAAAAGACTGCCTCTGGTTCTAAGAACTATACGTCGTCTTTGCTAGGACATACCAGAACCACATACCGTCTGCATCCCATCTGCATGGTCTTTGTACAGTAGACAATTACCTTCTGCATACTGTAATGTAGTACTCTAGGGTTTACCCTAAATTCAATCATACCTGGCTAAAAAAAAAAAAAAAAAAAAAAAAAAAAAAAGAAGCTGCAGGCTCAGTACCTCAAAACTTTGTTTGGAATGGAACACTGAGCCTCAGAAAAAGAGACCAGAAGATAAAGAAACTACCAAATGTAAGAAGTTTGGATCAACCATGCAGAAATTTCAGACATTGTACAAGGAGCTGATGGTATCTAAATAGAAACCACGTGCTATTATCATCATATGCATCAAGAAAGATGAACTCAAACTGGCAGGCAGCTAAAATATAGATGATCAGTAAAATGACAGTCTATTTAGTCCAGCAAAACAAAGGCTTCAGAGGGTTATAATGCTGTCTATATACCTACAGTTGACGGTAAACAACAGAGTCCAGGACCACATGAAACACTGCCTCATTACTCAGAGATTAGCCAGCACATGACTGACCAAACTGACCTGTCTTCAAGAATACACTTGAAATTTCTGCAAGATTTTCAACTATATTTTTCATGTGAAGCAGGTAAACAGCTCTAGATTTGGAATCGAAATCACTCCTGTGCAGTAATACTGTGTTACCACCTAGTTTGGACTGACAGTGTTCGAACAAAAGATATTCACATCTTTCAGTAGCAATTTGTAGTAGGATTATACACATATACCTGTCTTAACCCATTCTCTTCGTATGGGATAAAACATTTCAAAGAGCTTGGTGAAGACCCACAAAAGCCACCAAAAGGAGGCCATGCACTGATCCAAAGGAATGGCTTGAACAAAATATTCTTAAAAGAATCCTATATGGGTCATTCATCACAGTGCCACATAGATCTCAAAAGGCAAATCAGCATCACTAACATAGACTAATTATTTATTTATTTTTAAATGCAGATAACAGACTACAGAGAAAGAGGGAGCTAATTAGGGAGTTGCAGGTGCTGTATAACAGTATTTGAAAAAAAAAAAAAAAAAAAAAGGATTTCTGACACTGAGGGAAGACACTACACCAAAAAAAAAAAGTGACCTAAAGAGTTGCATGAACTTTGAAATGATTACTCCAACAGCTGACAGCAAGAAAGTCCTCCTCACAGTTCTGCTTAAATGATTCAAAGTTCAGATAAAAGAACACTTCTGTGAGGAACAATCTTTATAAATGACACAGCAGATCCTTTACGCAAGACTATTCACAGAGAATAAGACAAGAAGGTCATGACAACTGCTTTATCAACCACAAAAACAGATTTAACTAAGCTTCACTCAGGGCTATTTCGGAGATTAAGCAGCTCCTAGTGGTGCTGAAAAACACTTCAGAAGTTAGTGACAATCAGCTGATCATGGAGAAAGAAAGGCTCACAGACCAAAGCCAGTGGAAGAAAGACAGAATGAAAAAAATGTTACACGCATACAGGACAAAAACAACATACTAGGCACAAAAAGGTGAACGTTTATCTGGAAAGCCGAATCAGGAGAGATTGTATTAAGGATTCAAGTGCAAAGGGTCCTGAGCAACCTAAAGATTGTGAAAGAAAAGAAGGAATCCCCTTATAAACTTATACTACCCTTATAACTTACTTAAACTAAATATAAATCAAGGTATATGCTAAAGGTGAAGCTGACAGACACAATACACAAAATATAGTTTCAAGAGTGCTAAAACACAAAAACTGCTGACCTTTAAGTGCATAAAGTACACTAAATACTTTTTTATAATAAGATAGCATACCACAAGAGGAATGAAATGAAAGCCAACAATAGAAAGTATAAAACAGAGTCCTTGTGAAATTAGTGACAAAAGTGTCAAGAATCTTGCCCAGATGGAAGATGTTAAAATTTTTAACTCCGTAGCCTGGAGGAGGGACAAGACCAAGAGGCAGACTGTCCAAGGAACAGATAACAAAACAATAGGCAGACAAGCACCAAGAAGATACAACACACTCCTACTTTAAAGTTTTGATACCACGTGTCAAAAGCAACACTTTTAATCACAGTGGCAGATAGTGAAGGTGAGCGTTTACTCAATAAATTAACCTTGGTCGTTCTAGATATATTACTTAACATTAATAACATTATCTAAGAAATTAAAAAAACCTTTAAAGATCTTGTGTTGTTTCAATGAAAAATTTATATAAATACTACCATATGCAAATTGAAGTATATAAAACTACACTGTATATTGAACTTGTAATTCAGAGTTCCTGCTCAATAGGGAATTCCAGGAAAAATGAGATATTTCTTGCTGTAAACCAAACAAGTAGGCAGCTCACTCATTCATGACATTCCCACCTACTGATCACATCAGCTGGTTTCTCAGCAAGTGTTCAGGTGCATGCCAACAAAACAGCCAGTATAGCTCCTGTTAATTTCAATGGAACCAAAACTTTCCAATAGATGTTTCCATTTTATCAAATCAGCTTTTTTCCCCCCTGAAAAATTATTTCGGTAGAAGTTTTTGATGAACCATAATGATAAAGAAAGATAACAAAAGGTATATGATCTGTAAATAGTTGACTGTGCATATTGGGCAGAGAGGATGACAGCACAAGGCAGGAATCATAAGACCAAAGCCAGGATTTGAACAAAACAGTTAAATCACATCTCTCAAGAGAAAAAAAAACAAAAACATTTATTTGATCTAGTATTTTTCTTATAGAGTACTGATTGACACATACATTGCAACTAGCCAAAATAGAAACAGGATAACAACTCAAATACAGGAGAAAAACTGAACTGTCACAATTTGGAAAGCCTGCTGGAAGAATTAAGAAAATTTAAGGCAGTAAAATTCCTCTTAATTTCTTCACCTTATTGATATCACCATCATCTTTGGAGAATGTAGTTTTTTAAATAACCAAATAATTCAAATAAAATTAAATGCCTGGTGGGAGAGGGTAAAAAAAGAGGGAGCCAGACTCTTCTCAGCTGTTATCCAATGAACAGACCAGAGGTAACAGGCACAAATTGGATCACGGGAAATCCAATTTAAATGTAAAAAAAAAAAAAAAGCACCATTTCTTTTTACAGTGAGGATGGTCAAAGACTGGAACAGGTTCCTCAGAGACGTTGTGGAACTGAATATTCTTGGAGATATTCAAAACCCAACTGGATGATGTCTGGAGCAACCTGCTATAGCTGACCCTGCTTTGAGCAGAGAGGTTGGTCACGATGATCTCCAGATGCCCCTTCCAACCTCAACTATTCTTTGTGATTCTGCGAAAACAAATTTTTAATACAGGCACACCTCTGGAGAGGCCCTTCCTTATTTTTCTGTTACAACCAATAACAAAATAATCCATTGGATGATCATGAACAATATACAAGTTGTAAAAGTAAAAATACTTTTCATAAAAAAAAACACCACCACAACTTTGAAAAGTCACTTACTCTGTTTGACTAAACAAATGACAAGAAAATCTTGGGATTTCTGGTAAACAAATATAAAGTTCAGGCTGCTAAGCCAATTGCCAATTTGAGGGAAAAATTCTTTTAGAAGCCCAAAAGAGAATAAAGTCTTTCAATGTGTATTTATCTTTAGAGCTGCAGTGGTGAAGAAAGTCAGGATCTCCATGAAAGCACTAACTTCTGCAAATTAATAAAGGCTCCAAATCTAAAATAAATCCTCCTTTAAGTGAGTAATCATAAGTTAATATGGCGAATTGTGCATTCAAAGTTTCATAAAAACTGAAGTAACCCACAGGGTTTCCACAAAATAGGTAAATGAAGACTTAACTTTAACAGAGGTAAAAAGATAAAAAAATTGCAAAACTGGCCAGTGATTCAGTAAGCTTTACTTCAGCTGCCTCATTTTGCTGACTTCCAAGGCTTCCTGAAAAAACATGCCCCAACAGCACGACCTAGGCTCTCCATAGTGGTTTTAACAAGACTTCAAATTGGAGTATTTTACAGTGAGAAAAAACTGAAATAGAGCAAGGAAGTTACTCAATAAGATCACCAAAAGAACAAGTAAGAGCACCCGCTTGTCTGATAAGTCCCAGTCAACAGACTGTACAGCAGACCAGAGTAACTCTTCTGCACACTTCACATT